GCTTACTTATTCAAAAAGGCTATTTATAAAAATAACCGACTTTCTTTGTGACGGATGCAATTTTCTCTACACACTAGCTCAAGACGTAGTTTGTTTTTGTACTAAAAGGTTTGGTGAAAGCGGTCAGATTATTAACTTACCTGCTTTGAAGCTTTGTCCACGATATTTATCGCTATTTCGTCGCCACTCCTTCTGACCTACCACAGTAGAACAATAATCACTAAGTGTACAGGGAAGTAATCAATCTGATTTATCCGATAACTCATTTCTTTATAGTTGATCTAATAACATATGATAATTTCAAGTAAAATTTTATATTACTTTATCCTTAAGCATATAATGATCTGTTAGTAAGACTATTAAATGTATACGTGATATAGTGCAATTTTTCTAAATCACAATTTTGGGAATCTTTGGTTTTCCATATAAAATTGCTAGGATTTAGGAAGAAATTCAGTAAGTTGTTATCTATATGTAAATTTATGGTTTACTAGATAATTCATACCTCTAGAACCACCTGTTAGAATAAGCGTTCCAATTTTTAGACCTCTGTAAGGTTAACGTATTGAGAAACTGTGGGATAAAGTATTAAAATATATTTAATAACCATAGAACTTTGAATATTCTTAAGATACAAGTCGTTTTACACCAGTGTCATTTCATTTTATTTAAATCATCCTGAGCTCTAATAAGTTTCTTAAGTGTGTTCTAATTTTCAGTTTATTTAAGTACTTTCAAAATCTCAGAACACTTTATTTCAACGGATAATATTCAAAGACACTTCTGCTAATTTTATTAGGAAATTAAATCTTTCATTAAATCGTTGAAGTTCTACAGATTTTTGTCGTTATATATGTGAGATATATTTAACGAAGTCGAAATTTTGCAATTTTGAATAGGGATACATCAGATACCCTAAGTCGACGATACTGTCAGATATCCATTTTTGGCTTATTTCCTTATTGTACGCGTCAGCGCCCATTAGCGGCTGAGGGGTAAAGGGGTAAGAAAACTTATATTCATCCCAAGTTCGAACTTTGGCAAATGAGCTGGTGTAATCAAAATGTTTCTCAGAAAACTCCTGAAATTTTAACGGCAAAGTAAACGTGTAAACAAACGCTAGAAAACAGCGTCTATTTTCTGCAGCGTTTCTCTAGCGGACGATCTAAAAAAAAAAAAAAAAAAAGTGCTCACAGCTCAACCGTTAGATCGAGTTTCGGCAGATTTTTGCATGGACATAACTTTTTCCCTAGTCCCCGAATTATTTTTATAAATTTTGGCATGTAATTCTTTCATGTATGTTTTGTACTGTTTATATTTTAATTAAATTTATTTTTTTAGATGTACAAAGTTTATTTCAAAGTTAAATTTCTGTTACAATTTTCAGCTAGCAGGTAAAACCAACGCTCCACTGTTTTTGCAGTTTCTTGAAGTGCAACGAAAATGCGACCTAGTTTTCGTTAAAAACTCCTCCATGAAATCTTTCATCTCTTTAGGCTTCGCTGCTTTGCCGTATTCAAATAAATTCATAAATAAACAAATTTTACTAAACGCCTTTAAAAATAAGATATATTAAATATGAAATCTTATTCAGTCACTGTTATAGGCTAGTGATCTGATTTCTAACTTTCTCTTTTTAGGTTCCTGCCTTGGGCGTGTTTAGCACTGGCGATAGGTCTAGTCGCTACGTACGATCAGCCTTCACCATTCAACATTGACTACTCTCCAGAATGCGCTTTGGTCCTCAAACAAAGTAAAGGTGCTCCTTTCAAGAAGCGTTCCCTAGATGCTGGTCTCAGCTACATCTCAGAATTCGTACCCAGGTGCTTTTTAATTTCACTCAATTTCTTAAATTAAAATTGATTAAATCTTGAGAAATATATCTGAGCAATATAATAAATGAAGAAGCATTGAAATATGCTTTAATTGCAACATGATTTATACCTGCTTTGTAACTTATATCATTAGACAGTAGTTTCTAGCCTTTCTCACTGGATGAAATAAAGCTAAATTTCATTTGAAAAAAAAATTGGTTTCAATGTAATCACTGAACTCATTGAATAAATGTTACTCATAAACTCAGGACTATTACTGAATTGAATCGTATACTCATGGTAAGCATGATATGTATGTATCAGAACGGAAAGTTCTTAGCCTATTTAATCATAGATTATTAAGGTTTGCAGGGTTTTAAAACTGAACTAAAGGAACTTACTTCAGACTAGGCGAATTAATGACTATTTGAAAATTAAAGCTCATTGTAAAAATATAACAGATATAGCAACTCGTTGACAAATGAGCAACTATCTTAAAATTATAAATGGGGCTTTGGCCCTTTCCTTGCGCAGCCAATATGGCTCTCGACCTAGAACGAAGATGAAACCATGCAGAATTGTTTACCATTCCAGCGAATCCTAGCACTTGAAGTACCTAGCATTTTCCACAGAGATTATAAAAACTAAGATGAGGACTTATTGGATATTTTTAATCATTATATTTTAAATGTACCAACAAAAAACATGATAAATTCTCCAAGAAATAAAATTTGATCCAGGATTTTCGATTTTTTAATAGAAGAGAATATAACTTGGAAGTTGAATTTAAGGATATTCTGAGCAGCTCTATCACTAGAAGAAAAAACAAAATCAGTGATGATATATTATCGAATAATATATCTGCATAACTGAAATTACCAATTAGATATCTGGCATTTTGTAAGTAACTTAAGCCACTGATGATTGCCGTTCATTTTCTAGGCTATTTTTATTTCAATTATAAATAAATATAAGTGAAGGTCAGAGCTAATTAATTTATCTTGTATGTTGGCAGGTTTGTAATTAATGGTTTGATATAACCTTCTAAACAATCCTCTGAAACAAGTAAGAAATTAAGACACAATAACACGCCGAATAAGTACCAATTCACAAGTCAAACAACAAAAATCAGCGTTAATTTTTAAAATTTTCACAGGACTAGTTTCGATGGTTTTACCAAACCACCATCCTCAGCTGCAAAACCGCAAATGAACAAGATAGGAAATAATGATTACATAAGCATCAATAATCTAATCATTATTTCCTATCTTGTTCATTTGCGGTTTTGCAGCTGAGGATGGTGGTTCGGTAAAACCATCGAAATTAGTCCTGTGAAAATTTTGAAAAGTAAGAAATTGTCAAACTAATTTAAAAATAGAGGGGTTTTCTCGGAAGATTAATAATGGGAAAAGAAAGGCACAAGACTTTTGGATTCCGTATTCCTTCTCGCTAAGTATCCTTCTCGTTAAGGTTTGGGAGGAACTAGTTATAATTTCGTTCTTTACGCATTGGTATTCAAGGCACCATCGATCTTACTAGAAATTATTCATGAAGCCTTTCGTATGTAGCTAAAATGAACGAAAATAGAAAATATTACCAGTAACTATACTGATATAGTAATTAATACTGCCTCTTACATGCCGGCTTAATCTTAAGTTAACTTCTTTAAACCAACTCAACTGGATGAGAATTTTAATTGTTTATGTTTCAATGTTTTATTATAATTAATTACCATTTACTACTTTTTTAAATATGACATTTGCTTTTTATTTTTATGTAATATCTAATTACGTTTGACATATTTATGCCCATTTTCACAAATTTTACTGAATGTACAAGGAAGCCTGAATATAATATTATAACGGCTAAGACAATCAGAATACAAGGAAGACGCGCAACACTTAAATTAACAGAAGATCATTGTATAAAACAACAAACTTTTAATTAGTTACTAAAGCAAAGTTGCTATAAATACCTTTGCGGTAGTTTGCTGTAAAAAAGAATATAAAAGAAATAAAATTTTTAAAATACTGAATTTCAGTAATTTTACAATTTCGAAACGTGTAAAGTTACGAGAGGCTTCTTTGAAGAAGGGGGCAGAATTTTATTATGCGAATTTTAAGTTGTAATTACGTCCCGTATACGGTATTCTATCTTGAAATTCTGAGTATACGGCTTTTCATTTGAACCAACACTGCCATAGGTTAAGATTGCTCTAATTTTTTGTATAACATTAATCTTAACCTGGAAGAAAGGCAAGCATTGAATTTTGTGATATGATTGCAAGCTGGAGCATCATTCAATATTCTTTTGCTCGTAAACATTTCTTACTCTCAAACTGAAAGATTTATAATAAGCTTTCACTTTCAGCACTATTATTATCCAGATCTTCACATTTAATACCTGCGAACTTTAACTATGGGAATAGTTTGGAGGTGCAGAAATTGTTCAGCTATCAAACGACAGGCATCAAATATCTCATATGAAATACATAAATTCAATACCTATTATGAATTTTGTCTAACTGTAAGTTACAAATTAATGATCGCTATTTATACTGGTATTATTTGTATTTTTGGCCATTGAATCACTTAAAAGGTTTTGGTTGCAATGCGAGACAGCGCAGAATTGTCTGAAGAAAACACAGATGCCGACATTGATTCCAAATGAAAGTTTTTGTGTGTTTCTTGTAATAAAGTGTGCTGTTATAAACCAAACAAGAGTTTAATATTTGCCCGATTATTACAAGCGAATATTTGCTTAATTTTAGAAATTAGTTTAGCTATAGCAGAAACATTTTCTTTAAAATACGGCTTAGAAGCGCAAAAAATTGTTTAGAATGTTTACAGCGTCATGACTGTACAAAATGAAGAATACCACTGTTCGATTGCTTGTTACTTTTATAATCAGTGTTTTTCTTTCACTTTTAAAGCATTTCCTTATTTCATAATTTCTTTCCCATAGCTGGCAAAATGAAAATATTGATCAAACTTGCATACGCTACGAAGATATCAACCGGGCATTACATGAAGCTCGAAGGAAATTCGGTAAGTTTCAATGAATCTCTTTCAATGAATCTTCTTGAAAAAGAAGTTTTTTAAAAACATGTTTCAATAAATATTACTGTGTTACCCTTTAATGTAACTGACACATATTTCAAACGCTGTATAATATAGCCTTCGATTGAAAAATTTCGTATTCTACTTGTTTGTAGTACCTTGTCGCCTCAAAAACAAAATCTAACATTAATGATAAAATTCTGTAGTAACACGTGTATACTGTAATCCACGCATTTTTTAAAAATTTGATAGAACAATAATATTGATAATAATATTTTCATATTTTACTACTTTTTAATTTCAGAACAATGAAATAATATTAGAAGTTTTAAAATTGAAATACCTTTCGAGTTGAGTATTAATTTCAATCAACATCAAAAACTTATTTTAACGGAAGTTAGCAGTAGGTGTTTTTTTATTTTTATTTACGAAAAAAATCGAAGCCATTTTGTGTAGTTTCAGTTTTAGCAACGAACTGGAAATATTTTCATTTCAGTTTTTAGTTTACGTATTATAGGTTTACACGAGTAAATATTACTTATTCTAAAACAAATTCATTCCTACTTTATTTACTTACTTATTCATATACCCTATCATGATCAAACATTGTACATGAACGAAAGCGTGAACGAGAACATCTTATGATGCTTTTCAATTAGTAGCACCAACAGAGAATGACCCCAAATTGTTATGCCGATTAGTTTATATTGTAGTCAGTTATGGTGATATCCATTATTTAAAAGACGCTAAGACTTACTTGCTGTTTTAATTTAAGTAAAAATAACATATATAAAAGATATATTTATTTTCAGGGTATTTTTACATATCTTTCCAAATCTCTTTCCATTCCAAATCTTTGAGAATTTTATAGTTCACCGTGTATTGCATTTATTACAATTATATTTACGTACCCTTGAACACACTGCTCCGAATATATTTACATATTTGAAATATATGTTATTATTCTTATTTGTCGCTGTTATTCGTTGTTATGGACTTCAAATTTATTAGCATGTGCATTCAAAAGTTTGCTTATCCATTTGAACTTTCCGTGGTATTTACAACTGTCAATCACATTACTGATTTCAAACCCGCTTTTAATACATTCCTTGTTTGAATCGCAAGAGCATTTGGATTCAATTCTCAGTTTGAAACCAGCAAAAGTCTCGTGAGAAATTTGTAGTTTTACTAACAGTTTTAACTTAAATACTATTCATACATGTGTCTATTTCTCTTTTCTCTTGGTTTACGTCCTATACATTATCTCTTAAACCAGGTAGTTATGAAAGTTAAGAACACATGAAGGAATTTAAAAGGTCTGCAGGTTAACTGGACCTTGTGTTTACCGAATACATGCTCGTACTCTTGGAAACTTATTGCTAGTGGTATGGGTCAGAAGTCGTATTATCTATTATCCTCGCTTGCTGTGTTAATAATTTACTTTAAGTGCTTAATTGGTAGAAAAATAACCAGGTGCAAAATGTGAAATAAATTTGTTTATTTAAATTGTAATCTTCAATAAGACAAGTCGTCTCAATATTCGTAACTCATTCTTAATGTGTTATTTTTGTATTGAATTTTGTAAATTGTACCATCTGGTTTGATGCCTTCTAAGAATAGTTTAATAGTAGAATTGTACCCTTCTCGGGTATTATTACTTATCGGGAAATACCTTTCGTTATGAAAAAAGTCAGATGTTTTAGCGATTTCGAAGTTCTCTTTCTGCAACGGTATAAACTAGAATTTGAGAGGAAAAAAATTGCAAGTTTCAAAGATTTTTTTTTTTTTTTTTTTTTGTGAGGGGATTCGGAGTAGTGTAAGCGTGAGACGATCTTTTGAATTATCAATTTCCTTTTCTTTTCTTTTTTCTTCCTCTTTCAAAACGCTATTGATTTGCTACTTAGTATAACTGGCAGTGAAGAAATATTTTGGTTGTGCTACCACACTAAGTTCTCTTCAGTGAAATTTGTTTTAGAAGAAAAAAGTGTCATAGTGGAAAAAAGTTTCGAATCAAGGAGCCAGCCTATGATTCCTCCAAGTTTGAAAATTTTCACTGCGTACATGCTGGTAGCTGTTGTTGTGCAATTCCTATTACAAATTACTGGTTATTTATTTGAAGTTTCAGTTTGTTCTCAAGTTCCTGAGGTTGATTTCATAATAAACCGATTAATTACGTAAGGCTTAATTTATTTGATTATGGTAAAATAGACGATCACTATCCTATTCTCTTTTACTTCCTTTTTCTTAAAGAAGTCGAAAATATAAACCGCAGAACTTGCACATTGCGTTATAATTTTAATCAATAAAACTATTTATATAATTTTTAACATATAATTATTTCAGTATATTCTTTGAGTGATGCAACGTAGATATGGGAGAAGGAGGTGTGCGGTTTCGTGAGAATATCGGGTGATATCTTTCACTGTCGAGAATGGAAAACGAAAAGGGGTCACTCTTTTTTTCGGATAAGAAGGGAACATTTTTAAGGGGACTAATACACCTTAAAACACAGTAGTTTCAAATGTTATAAAAGCTATATATTAAATATGGAATTAAATTATCAAACAGAATGTTTTAAATTGTGTGTTCAAGGTGGAAACATGACGTGAACGCATAACAAATTTGTCGCAAAGCAGATTAAATTATAAAAATATTTGTGACAACATAAACTTTCTGGTTACTAGTTCAGAAAGCAGCTATATTATGTAGTGAGCTGTAAAACTTGGAAGTAATTTCTTTTAAAATAAATAAAATATCCCAATTCTTGCAACACTATCATATTCGAAGATCCTCAGGAGTTTAAGGTGTATGATTATGTATATTTTTGCCTTGCCGCGAAGTCGGAACTGAACTGATTGCATGAAAAATATATATCTAATGAAATACGATTAAATAAATTTAAATGGAGTGCAAAAAAGTGTGTATAATTTAATAAGCCATACAAGGAGTCATGTGGCTTCACATCAGATTTTTTTTGTTTTGTGGTCAGTCGCTAAAATGATTATCGTCATATTGAAACTTTCATTGAAGAAAGTAGAAAAAGTTTTCTTTGATCAAATTAAGTCTAATTTATTTGTTTAATTTTAAAATATGTGCTGTATTTAAAAACAAATGTCAGTCGAAAGCTAATATTAATAGTATGCTTTAAACGTTTTATAACCGAAAAAAATACAATGAAAAGTATCGGCTTAAATTTTCATGTGTTTTCACAGTACTTTCACTAATACAGAAATAATAACGCAAACATAAATAATAGTTCAGCAACGTATTATTATTTTCAGAAAATTATTAGTTATCATTTTCCGCCGTACATTTAATTTATTTATACACTCAATTAAAATTTTTGCTATTTTTATTTGCGCATCTACAATTGCTCTCTGTAATAAGAGTTATAATAATAATCTTTACAATAAAAGAATAAAATTAAAAAGAAGTTTAAATTTTTTGGAAAAAAACATTTCCTTAAAATTTTTCACTGTCATTTATTCTTTTAACCGAATCTAAATATGAAAATAATTTACACGCATCATCAGGATCTGTACACATCCGATATTAGTTTCTTACTCTTAATAATCCTGTTCTACAGGGGAAGAGGTTCCGTATGAAATCAAGGATCTCTCGTCTGTCTATCCCAAAGTCAACCATGTGTCAATTCCTGCAGAAATTCTTTTGGAAACTGTCAGAATTTTGTCTCATAGGTAAGCAACTACCATTATTTTCTTCATGCGTGAAGTTCATAAATTACATTTAGTCTTTTTCTATGAGTGATAATTTTATGTAGAATAATCAGAGCTAGTTATATTATATTTTACAACTGTTAATTTTAGTACTGTTAATACCGCATTAAGATTCGAAGCTCATTGTAACAGAAGGCTATGCTTCGTTATGAGTTCGGCGAGGCACATACAAAGCCGACTACTATACAGCTTGTTCGAAAGACAACGGTGGAATTTTGGTGTTAGCTGATGTGTTTTATGCAACATGTTTTTACATAAAACCGCAATTAATATCTAACGTATTTTCAGATAAGTGTATCTTCAATTCTTTCTGTATTTGAACCATAATACCATAGCACCATCGAAATTTTATTTAATATTAAACTGCACTCAAAGAATATTTTATTTATTTTAATATTTTATATCAAATATTCTAGCTGCAAAATCACGGCATCAGCTGCAGTGATTTTTTTTTCAGAAGGTGCAGGTTCTCACTCTCTCTGCTAGAGGATTCAATACTTTTTCATAATCGGAAAAGAAGACATATATTGAAGAAATTTACTTCTTGTACGTCTTTATGATGGCCAAATGAGTTATCATTTGAATCCACACTTGTAGAAAACTGGTATCCACTTTATTCTAAATAATATCTGAAAAGTTTAATTATAAATTTCAGTTAGAGAAATGCGATTGGATTCTTCTGTGCTCTCTGTTAGGGTAAATAAAATTGCTACAAAGTGTTTAGATATAAACTACCATTGGCCATAGTACAAAATCCCATTATTATGTTTTGTGCACCTTCTTTCACAAATGTAGCATGAATTAATTAGATTGTTCCTAATACTTCTATTTATATACGTGAATGGATGGATTTTATTAAGCACTTTATTTAAGCTATATTTATTATTTTCTAAGTTTTGATTACAATAATTAAATTCTAAAAGTCGGCATTTAAGACACAAGGCAACATAAACCTTTCTCAATATTCAGCATTTCTATTGTACTTTAGAAATTTAGATTTCCATTTTTTTTATTCTTAGTACATCATTTTGTGACTGATAACATGCATTTTATACAAACATGTGTGCATTTGTTACCGAAAGTTACCACAGTATATCTATTTTGCTTGCTGCATTCCAACGTAAAGTTTCAGTATGAGTATAAAATTGATTTAAAAGTGAGCGATAAATGTATGTGTTGATTTGGTTTTGGGTGATTTTGAGAGTTTTGGCGTAGTGTGAAACTTGGTTCCCTACCAAAGCAGCATACTTGCTGTAAGTTAAACATAAACTTTAATGGGGGCTTTCCGTGAGCTTAACAAAACCGATGAACAGGATATGTGAGACTATGAGATAGGAAGAAAAAGCATATGATGAAGATAAATAAGAGATAACTAACTTCGCTGGTGTGTCGGCAGGTACGTGGCTGTGACAATTCCATGCGATACTTCATATTTATGCTGTCCAGGATATTCTGTTATACTCCTGTTCTCATTTTAGTCTTCGACAGCTCTTTGTCCATCTCAGGATTCCGTGCATCATATCGCCGCACCAGGATGGAGAGAATCACTCTCTTGGTTACGTCGATAATCAGGACAACACACACCCCAGATATACATATTGAGAGGACACGCAGACTTCACACATTTCTTGACTTCTATCGCGCGACTATACAGCATTAAAATATCTACCTCTTCAGCCCGGCGCAAGGGAGAATACAGATTCCCCAAAAGTTTGCTAACGATAATCATATATTTGAAACAAAAGTTCCCAAGTGTTTGGAATTATTTGCCCATTCTAAACTGGCAGTTTAAATTTTTGGATAGGTTACATGAGTATAGCAAAGCATACAAGGACTATCTGCCTGAAAGAAGGAACGTCTTCGGAGAAATTTCAAAAGGAAGCTAGCTTGTATTTACGTTACAAATAGATCACGAGTTAGTCTGTTCGCAGTTAGTCTGTTCGCATGGATGAACTATGAACTTTTAGAGAACTCTACCATCCAGCAGCTGATGAGTCTTTAATTTTTCAGAAACTTATTGATTAAAAACTTATATAAAGCGCGAGGAAAATAGTTTCAAATAATTATCAAAAATCTTCTTTAAATTATCCCCATAAAATTGTATTTTCCTAATGCAGCATTTCTACCAGTCTAAATGAAGAAGTTGATAAATCTTCTCAAGGTTATATGCCGTATGATATGTGTTTACTTCAAAAAAATTATATACTTCGAAATAAATTTGATCAAATAAAATGCCGATGACTAACTTTCGGATTCGCAAATTCAGTACTACTTTCTTTTACCGTCTCTGTTAAGTAGGATTTTATCTTAACTGTCCTCAATGGCCTCAGATCTCTCCAGTGCAGTAGCAAGATGCAAAATGGTGTCGAGGCCAATTCGAATGAAAAGTAATTTTTTATAACACAATAACAATATTTTCTTCTGCCATAACTATTACGTAATTGAATTACGATAAATGAAGATGTAGTTATCGACATGTGTTTACATTCATGAGTAGAACAATAACTATTATTTTGCTAGAACACATTTCTATTTCAGTTCATTTTACGATGTTGACCTATTTTTTTAATTGTCATAATAATTGCTTCCCAGTATTTGCTTCTCGGACGCTCTTCAACTTACAATGAGATGACGTTTAGATAAACCTATCAAAAGTTAAAAATGCTGAAATTAGAATGTGCATCTAATAAAGTTAACATATCAAACATTATATACTTTATAAATATCCTAGTTTTCCTAACCTGAGCTCATCACTCTTAGACGGCATACGCTGATCAGCAGTTACACGTGCTGATCAGTACCCAGACAGATATGGATAACACGAAATCTAAAGGCTTTCTAAAATTATTATTTAATAAATAATAGTTTTTCAAAGCTTTCAGAGACAAAAAAGGCGCTGTTTATAGTAAAATTTAACTAAAATTATGAAATTTAGGCCTTATTTTCAGATTTTCTTTCAGAAAACTTCTGTACTTTTTCTTGGATTAACTACTTTGGCATTCTTTCAGCCGATAGGTCGAACTATGCTATAATGGTATAAAAATTATAGCTCTTTTTATTCACCTTATGTCTTTCATCAACTATCTACCGGTTCTAATTTTCCCAGTGGTTGTTCTTGGCATCCCGTGTTCATTTTGTTTCGTGTTTTACTACTACTTTTAAGTTACTGTATTTAGAATCTCTTTATCTCATAAATATGTAGGTTAAATGAAATAGATTTAACAAATACAAAAACCACAATACATTTATTGGTTTTCAAAATGTCGATTTATAAGTAAAGTGTGTTTCAAAGTCGATTTACAAGCAAAGTTTCAAAGTGCGACTTGGTGTCGAAATTTGCTAAGACTTCACGCTTTGAGTTTTCTTTTTTGTAAGGCTTAAATGCACTTTTTTTGTACTGCTATTGTCATCCGACACTGATGAACTCAAAATCTGAATTATCTATACCGTCACTTTTATCACAGATGATAAACCTCAACGCATGAGGTCTAAAATGGATTTTAGACTATATTTTTATAGCGTGACAAAACTTTAAATTTTCGATATTTTGCCTGCACCATATCAGAATAAAAAGATTGCTAATGAAAAGCTATGAAACACTCTGATCACGCCATATATACAGTAGAGTTTCAAAAGGGAAACCCGTGAGGGGCTTCCTCTCCCAGCTTGCAGGGAAAGCCGAAATTCTTTAAACCAGTTCTGATCAATAGAGCAAATTTTCTAACAAATTATAAAAATCGACTACAGAATTTCTGAATCTATTTTCTTTTTACATCTCAGCCTAGTACAAAATAAAATTTAATGCTATCATGAAATTTTGTAGTAACAAAGAAACTGCAAAAATTGCAAGCGTTATCTGTTTTTTTTTTCCTCTCTTTATATGCTCATATTTAAAATTATAAACCTGAAATTCTTTACGAGTTCGTTTCAGTTTTAGCTAAGAGTTAAGATTCGGTTTCATGCTTTGACAGTAATAGAATATTATTTTTATTTAAGCAAATAAATAAAATACTTGAATCATTTTTCATTAAAAAATTTTATTCGTTTTTTTCCTCGCGATGCTTGAAAATGGCTGTTAGAACGCTCTAGAGTATCGTTATTTAATGAGAAATAAAACAGGAATAATACTATTATTCCTAGAGCTATCAAGTATTAAGTACTGACTCAAAAAAATACTTTATTTGATTATCAGAATCCTTACCTATATTTTCTGCTTTAATCATGTTGTACCATGTATCGCCAGCTCGAAAAAGAACGATAATGAAAACTTGACTAATGCTTTTTTAAATGCATGTCATTTCCATACTATGATAATTTTGCGAAATTTTCTGTAGAATTTTCTCTGTCTAGACACAGAAGTAAAATTAGGAGAAAATCAGCCTTAAATTGTGGGTAATTTCGGTTAAAATGTTCACTGAATTTCTAACATGTACCATGACGTAGGTCTAATGACATGCGTCGCTTCTTGCAACAGATTCCTTGAGGAAAGCAAAACTCATATTAACTTTCCTCGAAATTCATAAGGTATTTGCATAAAAAATATAAAATCCTACTAATGAGAACTATCTGAAAAGGCTAATTTTACCTAGTTTAAAAAAAAATTAAAGCTATTACTACAGTTCTATGTTGATAAAAAGTTCTAATTTGTCTGCTTTTCTGAATGTGTCTGGGTAAATTTTCTTCTCTAGCTTTCAGATTTAAAACATTTAAGATAGTCTTCTCAAAAACATTAAAAGTATGTATGAAATGCTCTAAAAGTGTCTACGTTAAGCGCCCTGCGTGTCCTAAAGGAAAATTTTACTCTTTTCTGACCAGAAGGGATGGAGATTTTGCGTAAAACCGATGTCAATTTAAGATTAAATTTTATCGAATTTTAGGGTTCATACTGGCTCGTTTCTCTTACATTAATGAATGATATGAAACATTTTGTCAAAATTAAAAGTTATTTTTTATGCAACAGC